GAGCAAGTGTCTCTGTGGAGTGTAGAAGCGCGCTCACTGCAGGACAGATGGAGGCGCCGGTGCGGTCACTTGCTCTTTAAATACTCCGTCATTTCTGGTCATGCAGATAAGAGTAATAGATCTTTCGAATCTGTAAAGACTCTACATGTATTTATGTGCACTCACAATAACAACAAAACATTGCGCTTTTGTAAAATAATGAAAGCAAACAGGATGCGCTTTCTGCCGTCGCTGTCTCCGTGAACTTGAGCGCAAAACTCCGTGTATGCTTAGACATAGAAAAAATATATCCATAGAGAGTGAAATGTCTACTTTCAAATGAACCAAATCAAATGGAAAACAAATATTCTCGGATTATGTAATCCCTATGAAACATGCATACAGGCGCATCACTATACTGCGGAGATGACGAGTTACGTCGACTTCATCTCTTAAACAGAAAACCAAAAAAGCAGTAGTTTATCAATAAATCCTAATGCTTAAAATGAACGACTACTAGTCGACCAGAAAAATCTTTAGTCGGGGGCAGCCCTAGTAACTTATTCTGTTGTTCATCACCACTCACCTCCACACCAAGACAAACACAACTGTAAAGGGAGAGAAGGCTTCACTTCTGCAGCTCTCTGTCTGTCAGTGATGTGCAGCTGATCAATGTGTGCTGATACACTGCTGTGCTGCGGAGGGGAGAAAGGCATCTGAACTCTCTACAGTCTCAACATTTCCCCCATGGTCCTTGTTTGTTACTGACGTTTTAGTTTGCTTTCAGCAACTACAGACAAGAGACGGCAGTCTGTCAGAAATCTCGTCACATAAAAAAAACTGCATGTCATGTGACTTAATCAAAGCACATCATTGGCTAAACTAAGGTCTTCTCTTTCCAACAAAAAAAAACGAGAATGTTCTCATAAAGAGACAGTGGCAAGGAAATGAACACAAAGAGTATGTTGCCATATGGCTACACCATGCGGTAGAGGGTTACACTTCAAGATACTTCGTTTTAAAACAGTGTTGAATACTGAAAAATTGAGAATTTTGTGCACATTTTAAAATCACGCGTTTTTTTTAAGACTCATGTTCTTTACAGGCAGACAAACTTATGAGACCTGTGAGTATAGAAGCACGCAAACATGAACAGATGTTGTATGACTGCAACCCAAAAGAGTAACTCGTCTATTATTGACGATATGAAGAACTCGAAACTTAGTGGTTTTCATATTATAAACCTGTAAAACAAAGCAAAAAAATGTGGGAACAGGAGTGAGAGAGGAATTGAAACACTTCTCAAAATGTTTATGAATCAGTATACTTACAATAAGAAATGTTCAGTCTTGCACGAGGAAGAAAAAGGGCAGGTGCTCAAGCCCCTTTTGATGTCTATGTGTGCACGTGCCTGCTAAGACTTGTGATTAATCAGCAGATTAATCCGTATCTAAAGCGGTGTCTACACCAAGAGAACCCATTACGGGAAGTGGCGCGAGGCGACAAATCTTCTACAGTAACTG